ACTCTCCCACATACCCCATACCCCTCCACACCCACCTCCCAAACCTCCCCCACACACCACACCCATACTGCACACACCCCCATATACACTCCCCAACCACATCCCCCCACACACAGTATACAAGAGTAATACTGTATTTTGAGCAGTGATGCAGTCGCCCCTATGTACAGTATGCAAACACATGCAAATCAGGACAAAAATATATTTTTTAATAAAATTAAAGTAAGTTATAGTAGATGTTTGATTTTTTTAGTATAGATTTGTTGTTGGTTTTTTTAGCTGTAAGATGGCAGCACCCTCCCTCCCAAAAGGATTACTCCTGGGGCAAGGGGGCAGGACTTCCAGTGGCAAAGGGCAGGGGTGAGACTTCTGGTCCCAAGATTGTGACATGGGGGCAGGGCATTTGTCAAGGGGTGGAGCTACCCATGCAGCCCTTGCCAGCTCACCAAACCTCGTTAAGTGGCCCTGGAGCCAAAATAATTGCCCGCCCCCAGTGTAATCTGAGTAGTGTCAGTCAAATGTGTGAAATGCATTGAGTTCAGAATCAGATCCTGGGGAGTTCCAGATTCTCAGCACTTCTCAGGATCAGGCCAACAGGGTAATAGCCCCAGTGCAACTCTACTCTTGTCCCTCAGTCTTATACTACTCTTGGCTTCCTCTCCTGCAGTAGCCTGCATATATGACACCTTGGAGAAAGTAATGACATGGCTCTGCATGCCAAAGGGGTTGCCAACCCCCAGGGTAGAACACAGGAGCAGGGGACAGATGCAGAAGGGTCTAGGGAACAGGGGGAGACAGAGCAGTGTAGGGAGCATGGCAAGGTGAAGAAAAAGGAGAATGTGATGAATAGGAGACTAAACAGGGGGCAAGGTGGGAAGTGAACAAATGAACGAAGCAGGCAGAATCAGAATCAGACACTGGAGGGAAATGCCAAAGGCATGAACGACTCATGCCCCCGGCAGTTGCAGGAGCATAGTGGAGGTGGGAATGTAGCAGCAGGACCACAGCGGTGGTAAGCAGGGGAGCTCCCGCAGATGCCACGGGCACTGTCGGTGGCAGGGAAGGGCGATAAGCACCGACCAAGGGTTGGCGACCACCCACAGCCACCGCCAGCCGCAGTGGCAGAGGCCAGCGGGGATTGAGGGCCACCCACAGACACTGCTGCCTGTGTCAGCTGTGGGGTGGCAAGCAGCAACCGCCAGCACGGTTGGCAGTGCCTTTTTGTAGGAGGTGCACATGCACCTGCGTGTAGCCCCTACGCGTCGCCCCTGAGCAAAGGAGATGGAGAGTTGTCTAAGTGCCTAGCCACGCCAGCTCAGGAAGAAGCCTCTCCTCACACCCCAGGGAATATAAGAGGATAAGCAGAATCCCCCTTAGTCAGTGAAGGCAGCATTTTTATCCATGTATCTACAGTTATGTTTAAGCCTGAAGTATTCACATACAAGTTGGGGGCGGCCAGCTTCCCCTAAAGAGTCAGAAAGCAGGAAAAAGAGAAAGTAATGCATTAGGTTTAAGCATCTCCTGGTTTTGAAAAGTATCCCATAATTTCTTGCTGTCCAACTCATGACTTGATCACTTGTGTTGACAGGGCGGTAGAGGTCCCTGTGTACCCATCATCAGTATTGGCTGCCTATAAATCAGTTTTCTCCTTGTCAAAGTCAGTCATAGAATTTGCAATGCAAGGACAAAGTCCTAATGGAACTGGGGCAGAATTTGAGCTCGGGCTCCTGCTGGCTTTACCCACACAGCTCCTCATAAGCTCACCTTGTGGACTGCTTTGAAGTTGGAAGTCATGGGTCCAGGCCAACGCTGCATGTGCTCTGCCAGAGCTAAGGCTCCATTTCCTTTCACGGAGAAATTTTGACACTTCATTTTTACTTTAAATTAAGAACACGACCAGAGTTGGAAATATCGAAGTCCTCCACAGAATGGATTCCCCTTCCCCTGAACATCTCTCTTCATCT